TAAATTAAAATAAAAATAAAATAAGTAATTATAATAAAAATAAATAAATAAATAAAATGACTGTTCCGGTACCCCACAATTATAGTGGGTACCGTATGTAATGTACCACGTTAAACATGCACTTATATTATTGTTTGATAAATACTTCTATTAGATTAATTATGTATATTTTAATAATTTATTTCATACAAATTTTTTTTTTTAATATTACTTGCATCATGAAATAAACTGTATGTAGGAAATAAATTTAATCAATGCATATGTGACCATTTAAATGATGCTAATGATAGTTGAGATAGAGTAATAATATGGGTCTTGATAATGAGTACTCTAATAACATTAATTAAATAATTAGTAAATAAATAGTATTAAAAATAATGATGAAACTCATGCACTAGAAATCACATTAAGATGTGTTGGTAACAATTTCTCCTAAAAGCTTTTTATTTTCAATTTCTAATCAGAAGAACAGAGGGAGGATAACACTATGGTCAACTAGATCCACATCTCTACCTCAATTTGTGAACAGTTAAATACTGAGTGGATCAAGTTTCCATAGATGATCCAAACCATTTTTATTAGAATCATCATACATACACCTCCTTCTTTTTACACCTTTTTTTTTATAAAAAATTTCTAAAATATCTTTAGTCTACTTTTTATTCTTTAATTTTTTAATTTTACACCCCCAACTTTTAATTTAATACTTTATTCTTCTTTTTCACATACCTTTTTTTTTTTTATCTCTTTTAATTTTCACATGCATCCCCTTGTTTTCTCTCATTTTCATCAATTTTTGTAATTAGTTTAAATTCTCTCAATTTTTACATTATTCTTTTTCTTTTACCTTTTTCAATTTTCACATGCGGCTTTCTCGGCCGTTTCAAAGATGTTGAGCTAGATATACATTTTTTCTTCGAACACCTACTTCCCTTTCACACTTCCAGAAACCTTAATATTAAATTTAGTGTACAGGAAATATTTTTCAGAATAATGAAATTAGTATTTCGGAAAGTAATTTTTTGAATTGTGTTTTAATATACTTTCAGAAAGTATTTTTTGAAATACTCATTTTAGTGTTTCAAAAAGTATTTTCTAAAATAGTAAAATTAGTGTTCCAGAAAGTACTTTTTAAAAGTATGTTAAAAACAATTTTGAAAAATACTTTTTGGAACATTAATTTCACTATTTCGAAAAGTATTTTTCAGAATACTAAAATCATTCGAAATAGTAAATTTAACCTTGCACTTTCTAGACGTGTAAATGGGAAAAGTGCTAAAAAAATCACACATTTGACTCGACACCTTTGACATTGTCGAGTAAGCTACACATACCAATAACGCTATTAAAAATTAGTTCTATATTCTTGGTGCGTGTGAAAACTAAAAAAAAAGGGAGAGAAAGAGAGAGAGAGTGAGAGAGTAATAGTGTGAAAACTAAAAAGGAAGGGGGAAGAGAGTAATGTATAAATCAAAAGAATTAAAACTATTTATTAAAATAGATGGAGAATGGGAAAAAATAAAGAGTGTATGTCAAAATTGAAAAGAGGATAAAAAAAGATGTGTGAAAAATAAGATGAATCTATTAAATTAAATATTGAAAATGTAAAATCAGAAAATGAAAAAACTTAAAGATATTTTAAATTTTTTTAAAAGGAGATGTATTCATTAAAAAAAAAAAAAAAAAAAAAAAAAAAAAAAAAAAGGATAAAAAAACATTAATAAGCAAAAGAAGAAGTGAAGCTTTTACATCCAGAAGCTGAAGTAATTTGCACCTTAGCAGAAAGATGCATGCAGCAGAAATAACTAATCATTTGAAAAGTGGAACTTTGGTTACAACTAATGCAACTAGTTTCAACTTTGATTGTTTGTACTATTCAACATTACTATAATATTTAAATCAACAAATTTCCTCTCCGGCAAGTTAATAAGATTAAATTATTTTCCAACATTATATTTCATCTTCTAGACGGAATCACGTGGCTTTTATCGTATTGAAGTTATGATTATTTTATTAAAAGAAAAAACTATCTGATATCAATCGTCATTCCTCTGACTAAACTTTTTTTTACCGTTTTCTTTAAATATAAATCATCGTCAGATCAGATGTTTTTCAAAAATAAAATATAACTGAAAGCAACATTTTTTTTTACCCGTTCAAAAAGACGAAATGAAGTAAGGGAAAGA